AACGGCCACAGCTGAGCTGATCCGAAGTCAGGAGCCAGGAGCTTCTTCCAGGTCTCCTTCGCAGGTGCAGGGGCCCAAGGACTTGGGCCATCTTCCACTGCTTTCCCAGGCCATAGCAGAGAGCTGGATTGGAAGAGGAGCAGCTGGGACTTGAACCGGTGCCCATACAGAATGCTGGCAGTGCAGGCTGGGGCTTTAACAGACTGCGCCACAGTGCTTGCCCCTACCCTTGACTTTATTAACATATACTGTATACATGTATTGAAATGTCACACTGTAACTCATTAATATATGTAATTATTTTTTAAAGATTTATTTAGTTTTGGGGACCAGTGCTGTGGAATAATGGGTAAAGCCACCACCTAATGCCAGCATCCCATTTGGGTGCAGGTTCAATTCCCAGCTGCTCCACTTCCGATCCAGCTTTCTGCTATGGCCTGGGAAAGCAGTAGAAGATGGCCCAAGTACTTGGGCCCCTGTACCTACATGGGACACCTGGAAGAATCTCCTGACTCCTGGCTTTGGATCAGCCCAGCTCTAAACATTGCAGTCACATGGGGAGTGAACCAGCAAATGGAAGTCCTTTCTCTCTCTCTCTCTCTCTCTCTCTCTCTCTCTCTCTCTCTCCCACCCCCCGCCTGTGCCTCTCTGTAACTCTGCCTTTCAAATAAATAAATAAATCTTAAAAAAAAACCATTTATTTATTTTCTTGAAAGTAAGTCTTACAGAGAGAGGGAGAGACAAAGAGATACAGAAAGAGAAATATTCCTTCTTCTAGCTCACTCATCAAATGGCTGCAACAGCTGGAGCTGGGCTGATCTGAAGCCAGGAGCCAGGAGTCAGGAACTCCATCCAGGTCTCCCACAGGGCTACAGAGGCCCAAGCAATTGGGCCACCTTCTGCTGCTTTCCCAGGCATATTAGCAGGGAGCCGGATCAGAAGAGGAGTAGCCGGGACTTGAACTGATGCCCATATGGGATGCCCGCACTGCACACAGCAGCTTAACCCACTGCATCAGAGAGCCAGCCCAATATGTATAATTCTTGTTAATAAACTTTTAATTAGAAAAATCCTCAAGTACCATCTAGGGGCTGGGATTGTGACACAGTAAGCTGTCACCTGCAATGCCAGCATGGGTTCAAGTCCTAGCTTCTCTATTTCTGATCCAGCTTCCTGCAAATGCTCCTGGAAAGGCAATGGAGGATAGTCCAAGTATTTGAGTCCCTGCCACCCATGTGGAGAGCCAGGCCTTTGGCTTTTGCTTGGAAAAGAATGTAATAACATCTAACATCAATATCATCCAAGAGAATCTAACAGATATTTATAAAACAATCCACATGACAGCAGAATGCACACACTATTTTCAAATTTCAAAATTGGAGTTTATGCCAATATAGATTAAGCATAAACCAAGTCATGGTTTCTTAAAAGTTGGTAGTATTGTAAAATCAGATAAAATATCAATGAATATTTTGTAGTCTTTACATGAAAATCAGTTGGTCCATCTTGCATTTTAATTGAATCTTGCTCAAAGATGATTTTATAATATCATGAATTGTCATTTGAAAAATATATACTTGCTAAATTATGTTAATCTTTCAAATAGTAACACATTTAATCATATAAAATATCACATGTGTTAATATCATCATTGGCCTTTAAGAGATGTCTTTAAAATTGGCAAATACAAGTTTTCCAAAGTTGAATTTTTGCTTAAATTTTGATATTTATCATTGACAATAAGGATTTGCATTTTCATTAACATCACAAGCCCATATTGTTCATTTGCCAGAAAGTTTGTGAAGACCTAAGTCTAAATAGCTGTATTTTCAGGGCTGGTGCTGTGGCATAGCAGGTAAGGCCGCTGCCTGCAGTGCCAGCATCCCATATGGACGTCGGTTCGAGTCCTGGCTACTCCACTCCCAATCCAGCCCTCTGCGATGGGAAGAAGCTCATGGCTCTTGGCTTCCGACCCGTGCAGCTTCAGCCATTGCGGCCAACTGGGGAGTGAACCAGTGGATAGAAGACCTCTCTCTCTCTCTCTGCCTCTCCTGTCTGTGTAACTCTGACTTTCAAGTAAATAAATAAATCTTTAAAAATGGTGCTACATCGAAAAAGTGGCTATTTCAGTTCGCAGTGCAATTACACAGTGCTTTTCCTCAAGACAGTCAGTTTTGCTTTACCATGAGAAAGAACTGCTTCATGAGTACCCTTTGTTTTGTCACACAGAACATGAAAAAATGAGTATTCATGTGTCAAATGCAACACTTATTTTTTCTGCTACATCTATGACATTCTCAAGTGAAAATGACACTTTTTAAAAAATGGCATTTTTAAAAAATGTGACCATATGGCTACAAGTAAGACAAGGATTATTAATATAGTTTGGTGCCACTGACCTGATTTATGTGAAAGCACTTGAAATTTTACTCATCATTTCTTCTGCATTATCACTGAAATGACGACACATCCAAAAAGGCAAGTAAGGTCATAAAATCATTATTATTAAAGTAGTTTTGAGCTCATGGACCCCCTACAAGTGTTTAAGAGACTCCTAGTATCCTCGGAACTTGACAGCCACTGTTCTGTCAGAACAAACCTTTTGTTTCTTTAGTTCAATGAGCTTTTCCGAGCTCCTAGAGCAGTGGCTCGTGGTAGGTGTTCCATCATTACTGGTTGAACACAGAGTGAATGGATGAATGAATACTGATTGAAATTTATCACTCCAGAAATGTAAAAATGTAATAATTCACCCATGAATTCATTCACCTTAATTGGTGACTCATTCCTAGAAATAAGAAAGAGGAAATGGTTCTAGTTCGAGGTCTAACACATAGAATCAGATGCAAACAACACAGTACATGCAAATAGAAGAGGAAATGCAATAGGGATTGGAAGCAGAGACCGACGATATCATGGAAACCCTGGGTTCTTCTTATCTCAAACTTCCTTGCAGTTACAAAGCGAGATAGTCGCGTTTGTAAAAAAATTTTTGTTTAGATGAATCAGATGATAAATTCATTATGAAATAGGTCTTTATGATTCCTGGATAAGAATCTGTTAAACCAGATTACCCTGTGAGAGAGAAAAAAATGCCTGTGATAGTAGCCCTTTTTCATTATTGCCCTAACATCTGATACAGTTATTGTGATTTTCTTTATTTTTGCAATTGATTTCATATAATGAATAACACTCTGTGCATTAGCTTTTATTCTTAAATAAACTATATAGATGCTTCAATATATATGTATATATGGTTATAAAATATGTCACTTCTCCACTTTAAACTCAGGGAAAGCAAGTCAGCTATACAATGTAGCTATTAGAATAAAAAGCAAGATTGAAAACCCTCTCCTTTAACACATACACACCATTCACAGGCAGCAGTGGACACTCTCAAAGAGTTTAGGATTAAAAAGGATGGAGTCAGTGTCAGAATTCTAGCTCCACTCCTTTCCAGTTCTGTAACTCCCTGAGTGAGATTTGATTATTGAACCCTAAGTTCCCTCATGTTTCAAAGGGAGAGGATACAATTAACTTCATCTCAGAGAACTTCTGTGAGCACCAATGAAGTAACATATCTAAAAGTGCTTTACAAATTGTAAGGGAAAAAAATCAACTAATGGTTATGGTTATTACTGTTTTTTCCATTTAAATTAACTTTGGTTATCTCAAAAGTCTTGAGAAGGGATATCAATATTGGAAAAGTTCTTAATTATGAATATTAGATCTAAATGGAAATGTGTTTTACTTTTGAGAATAAAGAATATTGAGAATTTAGATAATTATTTCGTGTCTCCAATGGAGATCTAAATTATACATGTTCTATGGTTTCCAAGAAAAAAAGAAGAAAATTTCAAGATCCAAGATAACAGATGAAGAAAGGATTAATTGCAATTCACAACTCACTAAAAAAAAAAAAAAAAAAAAAAAAAAAAAAAAAAAAAAAAAAACTTTATTGGGCATTTAATGACCACATTGAAGTTATAAATTTTTCCCTCTATTTAAAATATTTTTTTGCATGGAAAGCATGTCTTTCATGTAGTCAATTATCTCCCATGGCATGAGCCTATTCCCCAACACACACACATGAGATTAATAGAGACTATACTATTTGTTTGAAGGTAGTAGGTACACTAGAATATTCTATCATTCCAACACACCTTTAATGTCCTGGTGTTTAAAGTGCTCGTTATGATTATGAACCAGCAATAGTGTACGAATGTTCCAGCATAGAGCACAGATTCAATTATGCAGACTGTTAAATGCACCGCGAAATCTCTTTATTTTTATTTTCTTCACAAACGCTAGGAGGAAAAAGCTATAGGCATCATTTCTTGTCTCAGTCTGAGCACCCCTGTGGAGAAGATCCAAGCCTGAAGTTTCCTTTGAAGTGAAGGGAATCTCCACGCTCAGATCTACTCTAAGGGTACAGAGAGGAGAACAAGAAACTGGCCGTATGAAAACAGATATTAGCATTTAAATGAGGCCAGACTTACAAGAAAATTCATGCATCAAAAAATACTAAGATTTGCAAATGAAGACACAGCTTTGCAATGATCTGAGGTCAAACCACTTTTGGTTTTTCTTAGGTATAATACAAAGCAACCATAGAAAATGTTGGAAGAACTTAAAGATGAGGTCAGAAATAGGAGACCTATATCATAGTGGATGATTACAGATACCAAATATTCCTTCTGTGGATGGACATGACAATCTGGCAACATTTGTGCATGATATTTGTGCCGAATTCTGGTTCTCATTATGTACTAAATACTGATGGACTGGGAAACTCACAAAAACAAAAATTACCATCACAAAAAACAACATTGCCATTAAAAAATCAAGCATAAATCTTGCTGACATGGATAAATTTAGCACAGGAAATAGAATCTTTGAACGCAGAATGTATCTGCCTTCTATAAAACCAAAATAGAAACCCAAAATCAGAGTTCTTTCAGCAGTATCTATCAACTGTCAATCAAGAGCTAGTCCTCAAATAACACTCCTGTTCAAGTTTCTGTGCTACGCTGAGTTTAAGTTCCTGAGTTTGATGCTTACCTATAAAAACTAGGAGGGTCTTCAGACAATTTGTGGAAAATGTTCTTTATTTTTTAGTTCCATTTTCCATGAACTTTTTGACATACCTGATGTATAAGATAATGTATGTTAAACACCAAAAATTCTATGAGAGAATAGTGTCACAGAAAGCCAAGAAAAGGCTTGGAAAGGCTGCGTAGACAGTTCTGAAAGGGTGGAGAGCACTTAGCTTGACAGGAAAGAGTGTTGTGATCCTCTACCTTGATGGGCATGGTCAAAGTAGTGATGTGGAAATATGCAAGAACAATGAGTTTGGGATGTGGGAAGCAGGACATTTGGGCTAGAGCACATGGTTTTGTTAATTCCTGGTGAGAGACAAAGTGCTAAGAGAAAGTTGAGTTTACAAGACAGAGGGTTCTACATGCTGGCTGCATCTCTCATGGCAAGTGCCTTAGTCATTATTATAACAATACACCTGATATAGGTTATTTTTTTTTATTATTGTTATTTGACAGAGTTAGACTAGAGAGAGAGACAGAGAGAAAGGTCTTCCTTCCGTTGGTTCACCTCCCAAATGGCCGCTACGGCTGGAGCTACAGCGATCCGAAGCCAGGAGCCAGGTGCTTCCTCCTGGTTTCCCATGCAGGTGCAGGGGCCCACGCACAGAGCTGGACGAGAAGAGGAGCAACAGCAGAGAGCTGGACTAGAAGAGGAGCAACCGGGACTAGAACCCGACACCCATATGGAATGCCGGTGCCATAGGTGGAGGATTAATCAAGTGGTGCCGGCCTCACAGGTTAATTTTATAAAGAAAAGAGATTTACTTTGGCCCACAGTTCTTGAGATTCACAGCCAAAGATAGGATGTGTCCCACTGATTCAGCCTCTGGTGATGGCATTGTTGCTGTCAGAGTCCTGAGGTACACAGGGCATCATGGTGGCTTCACCTATGGACTCAGTCCAAGGTAGTCACTTTTTTTTATTTGAAACACAGAGTTACAGAGAGAGGTAGAGCCAGAAAGAGAGAGTGAGAAAGAGAGAGTCTTCCATCCACTGGTTCATTCCCCAAATGGCCACAACAGTCAGAGCTGAGCTGATACGAAGCCAGGAGCCAGGAGCTTCTTCTGCATCTCCCACATGGGTGTAGGGGCCCAAGGACCTGGGCCATCCTCTACTGCTTTCCCAGACCATAGCAGAGAGCTGGACTGGAAGTGGAGAAGCTGGGACTTGAACCAGCGCCCATATGGGATGAGAGCGATGCAGGCCAGGGCCTTAACCCACTGCACCACAGTGCCAGCCCATCTCGCCACTTTTTAAATGCCAACTTGGTACCATTAACTTAAGAGTTTGGAGTTTACACTCCTAAATGGGTTTGGGGGCCAAATCATATTTAAGCCACAGCAGCAGCTCAGACTCATACAATCACATATTGCAGTGGACCATGGTGACAAATAGATCCAAGTCACTAGGTACCCTTTGATTTCCTCTTTGAGTACCCAGGACATAGTGTTGTCCAGCCTATGCTTGGATAAATGTGCATAACTGATGGGCACATCATTCTGAAAGCAAATTGCTTATCTTTCTTGGGACTCTCATCTTTTCTCCTTGCAGACTTCATGAATTCATGCAGTATGAAGTCCCAAATGATGTTTGAATGAATGACTGAATGACATCTTCCTGCTGCTTCTTACTGCTAGGAGATTTCAGAAAAAGCAGATGAAATAGCCAGGGAAGGCACCATAGAACAGGAAGACATCAATAGGACTTTGAAGAGTGAGAAATGTTTAGGTGCAGAGGGAAACTGGAGAGATTGTAGGCAAGGGAGTTTTAGGAGAAAAAACTCAAAGGCAAAAAGAACACGCATTAAGGGGGGAAAAAAACTACAAAGACTAGTCTATGTAGCACAAAGCGTTTTTGAAAAGTAGTGGATTTGACCACCCATGAAAAGGCTATCAAGAGTTTGTTGACAGACAATAAGCTGCATAGTAAGTTCTTGAGTAAAAGTAGAATTTAGGATGTGAGGAAAACATGCTGAATGCAGCAGTTTAGGAAAACCAGACTGATGCTTGTGGACAGGAGAGACTGAGTTGGAGAAAAACTGAAGGTAGAGAAACACAGCTAAGAGCCTTTTTACTTAGAAAAGTAATGGAGATGGGATTAGTGTAACTACTTTGGAAACCAATTGGTATTACCTGGGAAATTTGTGCAGGCACATATACCCCAGCATTTCTTTCCCTTGGGATACTCCCTAAAGAAACTCTTCACACATGTACCAGAAAACATGTATATGAGTGTTTGCTGCAGAACTGTTTGTGTCAGTAACAACTTGGAAACCACCCAAATAATCATGCAGAACAAGTATATTGCAGCATATTCATCCAAAGCAGTGAAAATAAGTGAATGACAGTTATGTCAACATGTAAGAACCACCAGAACACAATGCTGACTGAAAAAAATTGACAAAAGCATTTTATGTATTGTTAATTATACATACATGTGTACATATATATATTTTCTTGTGAATAGTTTTGATAGTACAACCATTTCTTTCCCATGGATTTTAAAAACATTTAAGAGGATTTCAGAAAGTTCATTGAAAATGTAATTAAAAGACAAGTTGATGTAGGGGCAAAATAATGTTGAAATCCATGCATAGTTTTTTTCATAACACACATGTTCTATGAGATTTTTGATAGCCTTGTAAAACAATGACATTTTGCTTGGAAATACATAAAAATGAACAAAACATACAAGGAATAGAAAAAGAATGGTAATCAAGGTTAGGGTGCTGTTTGAGGAAAGGGGGTGTGTGTAATTAAAGAGTAACATAAACATCTATTTCTCCAGGTGGCATGTTTATATGAGTACTTTATTATTTAACTGTATAGGTACATTTTATATACCTCTTGGTGGCTTTCACAAGTTAAAATGTGTTATGAAATAACAAGTATTTGATCAGGATGATTATAGTGGTTGTGAAGGAACAGTTGACATCCGCTATGTGACATGCATTTGGGTAAGACTAGGATAAGAGTCACTTTTGTATTAGTAACACCAGCGTGGAGGATAAACTACCTAAATCAATCAGTGATGTTCTAGAAAAACTACTGGAATTTGGAATGCAAGAGTAACAATTCTGTAAGTATTTTGTGTAGGCTTTTTGACAGGGCGCATGGCAGATAGGCAAGAAGACAGGTGAGCACGCGTGTTTGCCTGCACCCAGAAGTGGAATGCTTAAGGCTTTTCAAACGTGAGTTTAAACATGCTGACCTCCCAACTCACTCCTCTGTCCCACTTACTCCATTCTATACTGATTGTTAACTAGCTATAGAACTTCTCTTTCAAATATATTTGTGGAAAATAAAGACCTAAGGATATCTCTCCCTCTCACTTTCCCTCCCTGTTTACTTTCCTTTCTCATCCAATGATGACTGAGCACAAACTACACATTAATTCTGTAGGAGAGGCTGAAAGCCAAAGAGGCACGATTCAGCTCTCACACTAGATTTAGTGGGCATACTACTTCTCAGTCATTGCTGCCACAATTTCTACAGACCCAGGACCTTAGACCCACACAGCTCTGTTTTTTGTTTGTTTTTAGTGTGTAGCTCAATAGATCTAAATTCCAAAATTTCACAGAGGGCCAAATTCAAAATGGTGGTGGGGTTGTGTTCCTCTCTGAAGGTTCTAGGGGAGCTTCTGTATCCTGGCTCAGGCTGGTTGTTGGAAGATTCTAGATTCTTGGGGTTTCAGCACTGGGGACCCTGTTTACTTCCCAGATCTTGACCTGTGGTCATTCTCAGCTCTAGACCTACCTTTCTGCATTCTTTTGCTTTCAACCCAGCAAGGGCAGTCCAATCCTTCTCACGTCATATCTCTGCTGCCCCTTTTTCCATCACTTGAATCTTTTTGGCCAACTCTTTTGCTTTCCTCTTCTGCTCTGAAGAACCCACATGGTTAGACTGGAACCAGCTGCAGAACCCAGGGTAATCTTCCCATCTCAAGGTCATTAACCTTTGTCACATCTGCAATGCTCTGTTGCAAATATGATAGCATATTTACAGGGTCCAAGGATTAGGGTGGGAATATCCTGGGAGGCAATTATTCTACCTATTGTATGTTTTGTAGAAATTATAAAGTGGAAGGGACCAGAGTTGTGGCGTAGCGGGTAAAGCCACCACCTGTGACACTGGCATACCATATAGATACTGGATGGAGTCCCTGCTGTTCCATTTCCAATACAGCTCTCTGCTAATGGCCTGGGAAAAGCAGGGGAAGATGGCCCAAGTGCTTGGACCCTTGGTACCCACATGGGAGACCCAGAAGAAACTCCTGGCTTCAGCCTGGCTCCAGACCAGGCATTGCAGCCATCTGGGCAGTGAACCAGCAGATGGAAGACCTCTGTCTCTCCATCTTTCTGTGTGTAACGCTGACTTTCAGATAAATAAATAAATATTTTAAAAAATTATAAAATGGAAAATGAAAGCCACACACATTAATGTGCAGCCATTATGGATCAGTGACTGATGAAGCGGCCAGGCAAGCAAGGGTGACGTTTACCGATTGATTCAGGTTATTTCTCCAATTTCTTTTTCCAATGAGGAAAAAGATACAGTAAGTGAGAGGCACAGCACAGGAAACACTCAACAACCTATGTGGTAAACATCTGACCCATATGAGTTAGAACTCCTATCACCAAAATGCACCCAAGAATCCCATCCAGGGGTGTTCTCTTTAGTAATCAAACAGGTATCTTATCCATCTTCCACCAAGTTGGACTGATGGAAGGTCTGCCTTTTTATTTTTTTTAACCTTCCAAGCAGATCAGGTATCTATTACACAAATCAGTCCTGGGATTCCTCCCTTCCTGTCCCTCTGCACTGCCTACATATCACCATCATGTTCCTGCTGTCACCACTGTTGAGATGTCGATGGCTCTCCCAGCTCTCTCCAGGCACCAACCAACACCCTTCTCTTCCTTCTTGAGAGCTCAGCAATGGCTAGGAGATAGGGATGAGAAAGTAGAAGCACTGCAGGCAGGGAAGCTCTGTTCACAGAGCCCTTTGCCCTACCCTTAAGCAGCAGGTTCCCTGCTGACCCGCTGTCTTGCTCTGCTGCTGGGACCACGCCGGCTGTCACTGGCCAGAGTACACTTTGCCCAGTCCCCCCCACACCAGGCTTCCAGTGTATCCGGCGTCTTGTCCCGAGGACATTCTGGAGAGGAAACTCTCACTGTTGCATCTCCTACCCACCCACTCACCCTCCCTCCCACCCAGCACAACCCACTCAGGGCAACAGCCGAGCTGTTCAAACTTCAAGAAAATGCTGATATTTAAAAGTAGTTGTTTCTTACAACCATCAGTTTTTCAGAAACACAGGGCTCTGTTCACAAAGCACTCCCTTGCATTAACTTGTGCATATTTTTCTCAGGTAATAATTTCATATGGAAGGAAACTTACAGTCCTCTAGGCTAACCCCTCCCTCCATAATGGAAAAATGAAAGCCAGAGGGGAGAGTAATGCACACCTCACACCTCGTTAGTAATAAATGCGCAGCAGTGAGAATTAAGTATTCTGTGTGCTACTTGGAAAAGCTTGTGTGTGTGTGTGTGTGTGTGTGTGTGATTAGAAACAAAAAAATTTCAACACTCACATGTGTTTTTCTTTTGCTGCTAAATATGACTGGAAAAATCTGTCATTCTTTACACATCTGGGGATTTTTCTTGTTGAAACCAAATCTCCAATGCCATCCTATTAAGATCCTAAAATAGAGACACAAATCTACAGCTGCAAGTGAAAAAAGAATACAAATATGATAAGAAAGAAAACTATTTGTATAGCAAATGTCCTTCATTTTCAGTTTTCAAGTCATTCAAAAGAAACACAATAATATGACAAAGGGGACAGATTATGCCTTTTGAAAATAGCATTGATCATTTTTTCCCAAAATAAATGTGTTTTATACTTATTTTGGAAAATCCAGAAAAGTATATGCATTTTTAAAACTTGACAAAATTAAGACCATGTACTCAAATATAAGATAAAAAAAGATATCAGTCATTCCAGTATGATGTACATCTCCTGATAACTTTTTACATATTTTTCCCCTGAAAAATATATGGGGTCCCCCCACCCCTTTTACTAAGAAATTAACTTCACCCACCTGCAGGAACTGAATCAATTTCTTTTAAAAAAAAAATTACTTGTTTGAAAGGTAGAGCAACAGAGAGAGTGCGGAGAGAGACGGAGAGATCTTCCAAGTGCTGGTTCACTCTCCAAACGGTTGTAATAGCCAGGTCTGTGCCAGGCTGAAGCCAGGAGCTGGGAACTTTGTTCTGGTCTCCCATATCAATGACCAGGACCCCAGCATTTGGGCCATCTTCAGTTACCTTCTAAGACCCAAGAGCAAGCAGGAAGTTGGCCCAGAAATAGAACAGCCAGGACTTGAACTGGCACTCTGCTACAGGATGCTGGAGCTGCAAGCGGTGGTTTAACCCTGTGGGCCATAACACTGGCTCTAGAACAAATTTCTTATGGAAAAAGAAATTAAAGTCTGAGAAGCAGTGTCAGAGACATCGATTTCCAGAAACTTCTAATGACTGGTGGCTAGCGTAGCCTCCATCCCCACCCTACCAATTTATCAGACTGTGAGTAATCTCTTCAAATCAGGCTGTAAAGAAAAGTAGCGATCTCTTAGCCTTGACCTTGTAATTTCTACTGTCTTTTCATATACTCTTGGTTTGAATCTCTACTGTTGGCCTACCCAACTTTATGAAAACAATGGCCCTCCCCTATCCACATTCTCATGGCGTCAGTTACTCATGGTCAACTGCAGTCTGAAAAAATCAAATGGAGAATTCCAGAAAAACACAGCTCATAAGCTTTAAATAACTCTTCATAATTGCTCTATTTTATTATTGTTGCTGTTAATCTATCATTGTATTTTATTTATAAGTTACTTTATTATGAATATGTATGTGTATCGGAAAAAAAAGAGTCTTTATATATACGATTCACTACCATCCATGGCTTTAGCCATCTGCTTTGGGGCTTAGAACTTATTCCCTGTAGATATAGGGGGATTACTGAAACTCATTTTCTATTAACAGATTTTCTCTAGGTATCTCCTGATTCCACCCTGTTCCATCTTATCCTAAGTTTCTATTGTCCATGTTATGATATTGTATACAAACTATCATACATTCTCTTTGGGGTTAGATGATGGTCATTTCACAAACACATTGAACGTATTCACCACTGACATGAAGTTGCCAACAACATCTCAACAGTCTTTTTCAGAATCAAATATTTAGTTCTTCATTAGTGTTGAGTCTACCTAAGATTGATGACCCTGGTTGTCCTTGTAATTACTTTGCTTCTAAACCTTGGACTTTATAGTAAGAATTAATTATAGCCTGTATCTGTTTTTTAACTGCTAAATTGGATAATGACTTAATAGCTCCAGGGGATTACTTGTGGGAATTTAAGACTTGTAAGATTCAATTTCCCCCAAGCCTACTTTTCTGCAGTGATCTATGACTTAGCCCAATCACAAACCCACCAAAAGGAAGGTGGGTCATGGATTTTCATTGTCAACCAAACTTGCTACTACACAGCAAGAAACCTAACTTAGGTGAAGACAAGAACATAACTTGGCCTGGAAAACCTCCCTTGTCAAACCAAATCAATAACTTTCTTGATTAAACAAAAGAAAGGAAAAAAATCTGATCAATTCATACTAAATAATGTATAACAAAGAATAGTTTTCATTTTTACTTATTATTTCAATTTACCAATGGTTACCTAGACTACACATAAAAACCACGTGGAGGATTAAATACTGGTCCTCGGGCCCCGCCTCCAGAGAGTCTTGTTTATTTGGGCTGAGGCATGAGGATTTTTAAAGCTCCCTAGGTGTAGACAAGATTGAGAATCACTCTGTCTGGCTAGCAGGACTGAAAAATATTTTTTCTGCTCTCAATAACAGCATTGTGTGAAATTAGAGGGACCCATTCCTGGGGAATGTGGGATGTATGAATCATAATTAGGCCCTGTAAGTGTCAACCACGGGATGGCCAGGGAACACCTGTGGAGCCAAGAATTAAACATGAATGATGCCCTTTGTGCAGTAAAGGTAATACATTCTACTCTCGGGAAGCTATTAAAATATTTCCCTTAAGAATTTCTCACAAGTCTATTTTCAAGTGTCGCAGAAGAAAGTAACATAGGGTGCTTGAGAAGGCTCTTTGCACTTCACTCGGCAGAGTTTTCTGCAAAATATTTTGTTATTTTATTTATGTGTGCATCACACAGTGAAAGAGGGGAGAATGGGAATTTGCCAGAGAAAAGAAGGAAAGAGGGAGATTTCACATGTGTGTTACATCAAGGAAGATTGAGTTGGCCTAACTACTCTCATTGCACTTTTTAAATCTTGGAGTTTGTTTGATGCATACTTTTTGCCACAGTCTAGCTTCCTTTAAATGATAACTTGTGTCCTGAGAATACCATTTCCAGCCTGGTTCCTCTACACATTCCTTGAGCTGATCAGAGTGCTGGTCTGCTTGTTTTCAAAAGAAACTTCATGTTCATGTTCTCGCTATGGGGTTCGTAGAGTACAACGAGAAAATAGGCCTACAGTGTTTCTGCCAGTTAATGAGGAAAATTTCTTCTCCTATATATATCATGATAGGTAATTGAATTAGTGCTCTAGGAGGAAAGGGTTTGCTGTTTCATACTCCTATAGTTTTTTCTTAACACCATGAAATTAAAGACATGCCAGCATGGAGCTGCGTATTCCTGATTACTTTCAAATAAGCAATGCAGTATATTATTTCTTTTATGTGCTTTTATAGCACATGCTGTGCAAGATAATTGACTGCATGACAGATGTCTGTATTTCAGAGGGGAATTTATTTGTGAAAGAACAAACACGTATTACTTTAACATGGGGCTATTCATTATGTGGCCCACAAGGTGCTTTTTGACGACGTGTAAATTGAAATTAATATTTTCTCTTCACTTGGAATGTGCGTAAGAACAGTTGCCGATTTGATATAACCCAACTGAAGCTTACTCTGCTATTGGAACGCAGTCTTCTGTTCTCAGTCAAGGTTGGCTGCTCTTAGGTGATGTTCAAAGCACTGGAGAATGAGGAAGGACACACTTTTCCCAGAAGTCTATAGGCCTACCCCTTGTCCAGCGCATTATCCACTGGACTGACCTTTACAATGGAAGGGCGATCAGCAAGCTCTCAAAATAAGAGAGACAGAACAGATTCCTCATGCACGCTCCTGCATTTCTCTCCTTTCTGCTTGAAATGTCATTCTTGTCCAAGACAAACACTAGCTAGGAATAACACCTGAAGTCCCTACCACTTCTGTGTGAAGGGAACCGGCTTGGAGAACTAGTCATACCAGGTGGACACGGCTGCTGTGAAGGGAAATTGAAAAAAAGGGAGAGAAAAGGGTTCAACATTGCGAAAGCCTGCATGACACCAGTGCTGCTGCCTGGGAATAAACCCTCCCATTCTTTTCAGATACAAGATTTTTTTCCTGGGTGGGGGGCAAAGATCGGACTAATGGGCCTGGTGTTGTGGTGCAGCAGGCTAAGCTACCACTTGCGATGCCTGCACCCCATATCGAAATGCAGATTCCTGAGTCCTGGATACTCCACTTCCCTTCCAGCTCCCTGTTAAAGCATCTGTAAAGGCAGCAGGGGGATGGCCCAAGTCCTTGAGCCCTGCCACCCATGCAGGAGACCAGCATGGAGTTCTGAGCTTCTTGCTTCCACCTGGCCCAGCTCTGGTCGTCGCAGCCATTTGAGAAGTGAAGCACTGCATAGAAGATCTCTCTCTTTCTCTCTCTCTCTCTTTCTCTCTCTGTCACACTGCCTTTGAAATAAATAAATCTTAAAAACAACTGGACTCTTTATCCTCATAAGTTGACACTTACAAGGCACTTCAAAGTCACATGCTGTGACTATAAAATTCAAGCAGTTAACTGGCACAGAGATGATCACATTCAGCAAGGATGTCAGTTTTTAATAAGGTTTTCTTTCAGGGACAATGTGGCTTCTTGTAACCAGAAGCTTTCTGTCCAGGCAGGCCTCTGCTAGCCCCTTGAGTCTCTGTGGCCTAGCCTTCTGAGCAGAAGGAACTAAAGGAAGCAAAAGAGATTTTATAGTGAAGTTGGAGATGGCCTTTTTGAAAGTAAAACCTGGATAATAAGGACTGGTTAGGTACAAATACTTGCAGAGTGCAGAGGTCACCTCAGGTGGGCTGGACAGCGAGAATGGAGCCTTCTCCCCTCCAGGAGAGGCAGAGGCTGGCCCCACCCGGTGAGCGCATGTGTCAGTGCCCTGCCGTGCCCAGTGTGAAATGCCTGCGGCTGCCGTGTCGGACGCTGCAGGCACAGTGCCCGGCAGCTCCGTGAGGCGCGTGACTGGGTCCGCCAGCCTGGCTGAAACTGCGGCTCTGCCAACCAGGACCTTGAGGGTGTAAGAGAAGGTTACCCTCAGGCTCTGGGGAGCAGTGTTCTTCCTGCCACATTCCCACGTTTAAAGGTAAAATGCACGCAACCCCTGTTTACCTCACCCCACCCCTCTAGCCCTTGCTCCAGGCTGGGGTCTCCACCCAAAGCCAGTGTGCAGAACTGGTGGACCCGGCACCCGGGATGGCACTTGCGGAAAAGGTGCAACAATTTCTTTCCCCACCACCTCCTCCTGCTGGTGCCTGGGTTCGGGCCACCGACCGCAGGTCTACCCACAGCTTTGCTGCCAGGCCAGGACACTCCCTGTCCCAGCCCTCCCTCTCCTGCTCCACGGGCACATCCCTTTCTGGGAAGCCTTCTTAACCCTTTTCCTGATCACTCCTCGAGCAGGAAAATTATCTTGAAACAAAAATGCCCCGAATTGAACTTTAAAGGAGGCGCAACATAGAAGACCAGAGCCTAGGATTCCGTACCTCTCCACATTTTCTTCTCCTCTACCTACAAATGACTCAAGTACTGGATTCTCTTAAGATCCCAGAGGATCCCAGAGGGGGAAGGGGAAAGCAACACAGGGCTCTGTGTCCCACCCAGTTCCGTATCTTCTTGCATCATCGTCCCAGCGACCTGCAGTTTCCAGGAGCAACTTCCCACCACTGGCGAAACCCTGGGGTCCTCAGCTGGCGTGGGATTTAGGCTGGGAAGTCCAGTCGCCTCCCCTCTGCTCCCAGCATTTGTTAGCTGTTCAGATTTTCCTGTGCTTGTGCTGCAACCACCAGCGGTTTCCCTCTGCGGGGGCAGATCGGGGCCGCTTGGGACGAGAGAGCCTAGGAGGGGAGGCGGCCTGTGCTGGGGATGGAAGTACGAACGGGAGCACACGCGGCCTGCAACGCGCAGAGGGGGCAGACGGTAACGAACACCGGCCCTCGGTTAACCGCGGGCCAGTCTGTGCGACGGGTCAGCGGCTGACGCACTCAGTCTCTAGGGGACAAGGCCTTCCGCCTGGACCTCTCGGCTCCCTGTTTTTGCCAGTTCTGGGGAGAGGCAGGGAGGCTCGGCGGGCCCCGGGTCCCGGCCGGCAGTGCAGGGGCGAGGGGTGGGCGTGTGCGCATTGGGCGCTCTGCGCGGTTAAGGGGATTTCGCAGAAGGAAAGTGCAGGTGGAGGGGGACAGCCGACAAAGGGGGCGCCCCGGACCTGCGGTGCGGGCAGCAAAGCTGTGCGCAGACACGAGCGAGGTGGCCTGGACCAGGGACGTGGCCGCTTTCTCACGGGTTCCACCCTGGAGCCCTCTCCGTCAGCTCCGTGCACTCTGCGGCCGGGGGGGGGGGGGGGTCATCGCAGAGGTCCTGCTTTCTCTCGGGGACCCTGAGCTGGGAGAAGGGAGCCCCGGACACTATCCTCTGTCCATGTCTGGGCAGCTAGCGTGGCCACCTCGCGGGGCTGCTTTGAGGGTCACGAGACTCCGGGCGGGTCAGAGAGACTTGGAGGCCCAGCCTTCACTCCCCTCCCTGGGGCTCCTGGGCCAGAGTCCAGCTCTTGGTCACCTCCTGCCCGCACGAGGAGCGCAAACGCCCAGCACACTAGGGCCCCGCCGAAAAGCCCCGGGAAGCTACGCGCCGGGGGACGGGGGCGGAGCGGAGGCGGCGCGCGCGGGGGGCGGGCCCGGGAGCCGCCCCCGGAGTTAAGGGCGAGCGGCGGACCGGGCTGGGCCCACGCGCGGCGGGAGGAGGGAGTCCCCGCCGCCGCCGCCGCCACAGCCGCCGCCGCCACAGCCGCCGCCGCCGCGTGCTCAGCCTGTCCCCGCCCAGGGCGCCGGAGCCTCCAACTAACTCCGCCCGCCGCCCCGCCGCCCTCGGGCTCCGGCTTCCGTTCGGGACAGAGCCCGCGGCCGCGCAGGTTGGTGTTGCCGCCGCCGCCGCCGCCGCCGCCGCGGGGCGGGCCGGGCGAGGATGAGGAGGGTGGGGTGGGGCGGGCGGGGGTCAGGGAAGTTGGGTGGCCGCTGGGCCGGGACAGGGATCCTGCTGCCTCAGCTCCCGCCGCTTCCTGGCGCCTGAGGCGGTTGTTGATCTGCTCCGGGGCAGCCGGGGTCGCGGGACTAGGGACTGAGCCATCCTCCTCGCTTCCCCGGGCCCCTTCCTCACCACCATTACCACCAGCACCGTGTGCCCGACTGGTGGGCGAGGGTCGCCCTTCTTACGCTCCCTGACTCACCTTCGCGCCTCTCCTGGCGCCCTCGCCCTGGCTCTGTGTGTGTGTGTGTGTGTGTGTGTGTGTGTAGGAGGAGGGGGTGGTGTCCATTGGCTGCCTCGCCTGCCCGGCCCCCAACTTGGAGAAGTCCCGGTGACGGCTGGAGTGGTCGGGGGAAGCGGGTCCGCCGGACAGGTGGAGAGGGGCTGGCGCGCGGCGGAGACCCGGGTGTCCAGCTCGCGGGTGGCATCCCCTCCTCCGTGTCTCTGCTGCTGCCCTGCCCAGCTTCCAGCCCCGGACAGCGGAGGGAAGGTCGCCGCCCTCCGGGATGCCGGGGAGAAAGTCCGGGGCCCGGCGCCTTCCTGTCCGGGCGGCTTTGGGTCCCCGAGCCGTGGGAACCCCAGTGTTGGCGTCTGTTGACCGCTCGCGCTCGGCGGTGTGGGGATCCGCGGGGCCGACTCCTATAGGCTGTGCGAGACGACGGGTCCTGCGTTGAGACCGTCTGATCTCCGGCCCTGCGGCCGGCCTAGGTGTGCTGGTCTCTTCAGGTGATGCGGCTCTGACGGGCTGACAGGCACGGGCTTACGGAGCTGCTCCTTGGTGTACAGAGTTGGCATTGTCGCTTCCCCGCCGAGACTTGCGGACAAACCGTGGCCCTCACCTCCTATTTCCGCTGCGATCCTAGAAACCTAAAGGGCTGGAAGGTCTTACCGCTCTCAGTCTTTGCAAATCAGAACGTAGAGTCTCGGTTTGTCCATCTCTTACTATCTCCTTCCATCCTACATGCCAGAGTAAATTGGCTGCAGACTTTAAGAATTCAGGAGGGAAACCCTTTTGGTAGAACAAGCTCAGACTTAAGCTCCAAGAAACTACCTGTGATGCTGTGTGGGTGCATCGCAGGCACAGGAAGCATTCTTGATGCAGTTCTGGTCACTTGAAGAACAAAGCAATAGCCTGGGAAGATGAGCTGTAGACGCAATGTCCCAGGGCTAGGTACTGGGAAATAATGATTTGTGGACTTCAAAAACGTTTTGCATCCAGATGAATTTCATTTCCATTTTTCATGAACGTCTGGAAGTCCCCACAGGTGTGTGGCAGGTAGAATGATATCAAGAGTGCATTATCTCTGGCCCTTCCAGATCACTACTTGGTGAGTCTTCTTAATAGATTGGAACAAATACCAGGATTGTGAAGACACTGTTTTCTGAGATACAAGTGTCAGCTGTTTCTACATCATCAAACAGAGGCACATTTGGAAATAAAGTGAATTCCATAGTTTTAGAATGAAAGATTAGAAAAATATCCTATACATACATGATGTGGTGATCAGGTATTAAAATCTGTAGAAATTTCAATTCTAAAGTTATTCTGCAAGTAAATTTGTTTATGCATTTTAAATATTTCTTTCAAAGGCAGTTACAGAGAGGAGGAGGAGGAAGAGGAGAGAGAAAAAGAGAGACAGAAAGAGAGAGAGAGTAAGAAAGAGGTTGATCTTCCACTTGCTCATTGACTTCCCAGATAGCTCCATCAGCCGGGGCTGGGCCAGACCACTTTGGGTCTCCCATGAGGGTTGTAGGGGGGACCTAAACACTTGGGACATCTTCCACTGCTTTAGCATGGAGCTGGATGGGAAGAGAGCAGCTGGTACTGTGACTAGCACCCATATGGTATGCCTGTGTCATAGACAGTGGCTTAACCCGCTGTGCCACAGCGCAGGCTCCAAGTCAATTTATGTAACTTTTCTTTCTCAATTCCTAGAGATAGGCAATTATAATGGGTAGAAAAATATACAGAGATTAAATGTAGTATTTTTTAAAAGGTTGGAACTTGAGCACTTAAAAGCCTGGTGGGCCCTAAATTGACTCTGGAGATTTGACTTGAAAGTTAAAAGACTCTTAGAGTTTTCTTTGTAAAGCCACTTCTTGGGGAAGGCGTTTGGTGCAGCAGTTAAAGTATTGCTTGAAGGGTCTACATCCTTTTAGAGTCCTGATTCCAGCTTCTTGCTAATGCACGGTTCTCGGAGGTGGCAGCTGATGGCTCAAGTACTTGAGTTTCTGTCACCCAGCTGGGAGAGTAGGATTGATTTCTGAGCTCCTGCATCTGCCTGGCACTGCCCAGGAGATGCAGGATCTCTGTTTCTGAATCTTTTTCTCTCTCTGTGCCTTCCAAATAAATAAATCTTTAAAGAAAAAAAAATCCACCTTGGAAAAGATTGGACAGGGTGCAGTTACTGTAACTTTGTGACACTGCTGATTCTGCCCCTACCCTAGGACGTATCCATCTGCTGGCTGTGTGGAGAATTTCTTAGGCTCTCTGTAGTAGGCCTGGGCTTTGAGAGCTCTGATTCAGCTCACAGTGAGCAGCAGCCTGAGGTTTGCAACATTAACTTTACCCTTGGCCTTGTTGTGGCTCAGCACCTTTGTTTGCTTTCCTGTTTATGACTTGAGATTAAAGCACCTTTCAGTGCCCTGGAAATTGTGGTTTGCTATAATAGCCATGAGTATAGAGCCAGAAAGCTTACATGTTTAAAAACTTTTTAAAAGAAAGATTCATTTTACTTACTTGAAAGAGTTACAGAGATGGAGAAAGGGAGCATATATCTTCCATTTCATTCACAGGTTCACTCCCCAAGCGGCCACAATGGCCAGGGCTGGGCCACACCAAAGTTAGGAGCAAGGGACTCCATCTGGGTCTCCCACGTGGGTGCAGGGACCTCAGCACTTGGCCATCTTCCGTCGTTTTTCCAGGTGCATCAGCAGGGAGCTGGATGGGAAGTGGAGCAGCAGGAAGTATAACTGTTGCCCCTAGGGATGCTGGCATTGCAGACGGTAGCTTAACCCACTGCACCATGATCTGTCCCCAAGAACTTCTTTCTCCCCTTAAATTCTTTCAGTGGGAAGAACCAATTTCTAAAATTTCCTTGCAGATAGCTCAGGAAGTGGGCAGTGTTGGTGGTGTCCTGTGTTGTCAGATCTCCTGGGAGGAACTTCAGTCATCTCGTACCTCCCACTGTTTCTTGTGCTGTGGAGGACAGAGCTGCTCCTCTGTACTCAAGTGGTTCCTTTAGATTCTCCAAGGGAGGAGGCAGTGGAAGAAGGAATGACAGTTCAGAGGCCCTATTTATTTATTTATTCATTTATTTAAAGAGAGAGCGAGAGAGAGAGAGAGAGAGAAAGGAAGGTCTCCATTTGCTGGTTCACTCCCCAAGTGTTTGCAAAGGTGTGGGCTGAGCCAGACTGAAGCCAGGAGCCAGGAGCTTCATTCAGGTCTCCAACATGGGTGGGGCTCAAGCACTTGGGTCATCAGCAAGGAGCTGGATCAAAAGTGGAACGCATTTTAAAAATAAACAAATATAGGGGCTGGCACTGTGGCGCAGTAGGTTAATCCTCGGCCTGCAGTGCCGGCATCCCATATTGGCGCCAGTTCTAGACCTGGTTGCTCCTCTTCTGATCCAGCTCTCTGCTATGGCCTGGGAAAGCAGTAGAATACGGCCCAAGTCCTTGGGCCCCTACACCCACCTGGGAGACCCAGAAGAAATCTCCCAGCTCTGGCTGTTGTGGCCATCTGGGGAGTGAACCAGTAGATGGAAGACCTCTGTCTCTCCCTCTCACTGTCTACCTCTCAAATAAATAAATAAATAAAATCTTGTTTAAAAAGTATATAAAAACATAAATACACATATGCCAAGTATTTTCAAGTAGTGATTATTTTTAGCAAACTTGTATCATTTATTTATTCAACAAGTGTTTATAGAGCGCCTACAATGTTTGGCTTTTTCCTGAGTACAAGCATATAGAGGTGTACAAGACTCATGGTTACTCTCTTGTGACCTAAAAGTCTAAGGGATGAAAATTTGGAAACAGGGCCTTATAATACCATGTGATTCATGTCCTGATAGGGATGCAGAGTGCCCCAGAAGATGGGTGAGCTGTCAGGGTGCCGAGTGGATGAGTGTCCCCCAGCACATCGTCCTACTCAGTTTACTGGCAAGTAGAGAAACCTTCCCAGAGGACAGGAAACCACCAAGACCTGAAGCAGGAGTGGCAGTTAGCAGCAGAAATAGTGAGAGGGTTGAGTGTTCCAGACCAAGGGAGCAGAATCTGATGTGTTACAATGGAAGTTGGGTGGATAATATAAAGGAATAAACAAACAAGAGCAGGGAGTGAGGTGTGGGGACCTGAAGGGAGAGTGAATGCTCCAGTCAAATGCCAGCTTGGGCTGCAGATCAAGTGTTCCCAGATACACACTTTTTAAAAGGAGCTGACAATTCATATTTTATGACTATGAAATCTCCCCAAATGTGAAGTGGCCCCAGTGCTTTTTAAACCATTGTTTTGTACTAATACAGTAATACTCCAGACAGATCCATAATTGGAAGTCAACTTTATGACCTCTGTTTTTAAGGAAGTGAAAGATGTTTAATGCATTTCTTTAGAAATGAACCTTCGAAGGAGAAGCAAGGGAAGTGCCCGCAGACAGAGACAAAACCACACACCATTCAGGGCCTTGGGGAGCTTGCTAGGGAGGTTTGGCTTAATCCAAAGTGCAGTGGGTGACATCGAAATTGAAACACTAGTGATACGATTTGTTTTGCAAGGTACCTTCTGACTACCCTATGCAGATTGCCTAAGAGGAGGCAGTAATGGAAGCAGGATAACCATGTGGGAAGCTGGCAAGGATCCTAACAAGAACTATGTATAGCTGGAAGCAGGTTCTCAAGCAAGATGGAGAGTGATGGTGGATTTGAGAGATATGTGTGATACCTGCCCTGTTGGGAGACAGTTCTCCATTAGTCATTCAGGTTTTTGTACAACTTGTGAGCAAAGGTGCTTACAGATTTTATTCCAGACTGTCTTCTCAAGGACTTTTGCATATTAGATAGCTTTGAAAATAAAAGCAGTGTTTCTCCGTGGAGCAAAGGATGGGTGGGCTTAGTTACTGTCCTCTATGTGAGTATGTCCTTGTTGGGTATACAGATGTCATCTGTCTGGCACAGCTCTGCTGATACTGGCACAGTCATGTGGTAGGCCTGCTGTTGCTTTTTATTTTTTGTAATTTTTTAAATTTAATTTATTTGAAAGGGAGAGAGAGAAAAAAGAAAGATCTCCCATCTGCTGATTCATTCTTCAAATGCCTGTAGCAGCCAGGGCTGGACCAGGCTGAAGCCAGGAGCTGGAAACTCAATCCAGTTCCAGCATAGGTGGATTACCTGCTTCCTCCCAGGGTGCACGTTGGCAGGAGGCTGGCATGGAGAGCAGAGCTGGGAAACAAACCCAAGCACTCTCATATGTGTGCGGGTGTTCTCAGTGGCATCCTAACCACTCCACTAAATGCCTGTTCCCCTGCTACTGCTATTTCTGTGAGTGATGTAGTCTTTCATTTCTGACCATGGAATCTCATGTCTTCTCTCAGCATCCACGAAACTGTGAGGTGCTAATTTGTTCTCTTGCAAGTGAGGCAAAATCTCAGATCCCTTATAGCTCCTGACAGCCACCTGCCACATTGTCTGTTTAATTAAAATGAAATAAAATTAGAAATTGTTAATTCCTTAGTTGTCATAGCCATATTTCAAGTATTTAAATCAGGTCACATGTGGCTACTGACTATGCATTAAGCAGGTATGGAATATTTCTGTCATTGTAGAAAATCCTGTTGGTCCTTGCTGGTTTAAAGCTTTTGAGTTTTTTGGTTTTGTCTCTGTTTTCTGGGGTGTGTGTGTGTGTGTGTGTGTGTGTCTTACTCACATCAAGGCGAGTAAGAGGCAAGAGAACTTATTGGTTTGGACAGCATAAATGATGCTTATTTCTATGTAAGATTCATAGGAGTCCCTTTATACAGAAGAAATACTTCTGCTTCGATAATCTATACAGCACTGAATTCAGTCCTGCTGGGGCAGAAAATGTAGAAATTATCTCCATGTGAGTTTGGAGACAGCAGACAGGGCTATGTGGCAACACAAGTTCTACATATATATGGCTTTACTCAAAATCCTGTGTGACTGTGAGGTTAGGATCTGTGCCCAGACAGGCTTGAGCCCCATCTATGAGCCACACTTTGCACGAAAGGACAAGAGCTGCACATTAGCAGCAGGGATCTGGAACAGCCAGTTTAGCG